GGGGAAAGCAATGCTTTGTGAAATTCAATAGAAACGTCAGCTCTACTCATATCATTGTGGAAAAATACATCTACCAGTCCTTCATCAGCTTACACGAAATTGGGTGAATACATTTCATATTACTGATTTACTAGTAGTCTCGAAACAATACTTAATTGCGAAAAATCTCTGATCATTGTTAATTTTTTCAAACTTTTTATAATACAATGTGCGATAGTACGCGTGTTTGAATAATTCTCAAAAATTTTCGGAAACGAAAAAAGGTAAAAATTTACATAAAAATTAGGGTATTCTCTTTCATCCATCACATGCAAGTCAAAAGGTTTACTCTGCTTATTAAACAAGAGGGAGTGATCTTTTTGGACTCACATCATCATCATCATCGGCTATAAATTAACGAATATATATATATATATATATATATATGTGTGTGTGTGTGTTAGACACGGTCAAACATTGCTGGAATGTCTACTTTTGAGTCTAACTTGAGTGAACATTTGCTTAGGTGCTTAATGAAATGGTTAGATATTATCGGTACGGAGAGTCTGAGGGCGTATCCTTGAAGATCGTTTATGACAGTGGCTAGGTTCAAGGCTGTATGCAGAAGTGAATTCTTAATGAATTGTCTGCAAATACTTGTACTTTGTTGATATTTGTATTCTGGCAATTTCCTAAAATATAGTCTACAAAAGTATACGTTAGTAGAGGTAGCTGACAATTGGGTGTCTCCAATAGTCATGTAAACTGCCCGTTAACATTATACTGCCTTCAGCCCACTTCTCTTAGAAACGAAGTTCACTTAGGCGTTGTATTAAACAAACACACGCACACAATCATATACATATTTTAGCATGAATACACAGATAGATGATAGTACGGTGATCAAACCCTACCGTATCCAATAGCTCTTCACCCATCGGGACAGCTCACTCGTCTTTGATGTTGGCGTGAGCCCATTCCCTCTCTGATGTACTCCTGGCCTCCTGAGCACACCAATTCCTCCAGCTTCTACTATGCGCTGTCGGCATACCAAGAGACTAAGCCTATTATTCTCCTCCTTCTTTGTGGACTCTGGACCAAGAGTTAGCAGTGAGTATAGTCGGGGAGTGGAACTGCGAGATCCAGCCGAAATGGCTCCTCCCAATTGGCTGGTCATTAAGCAGGAGACTTCAGAGGATGCTGGTTTGCTGTCGCCTCTGACGTGATGGGACCTACTGAGCTTATCCTCCCTCTCTTCAATTATCACATTCACGTTTAAAAAGACTATTTCGAAGTGCATGGTTGCTGGCCCGAACGGACTCGCCATTATTTTGTTCGAGGCTTGTCGAGACCAAGTTGCTCAAGTTTAACCAGGCCAATGAAGTTCATTCTGATGATCAGGCTATACTATCGAGGCCTCTTGTTCTCTGCTCACTTCTTGAATGTGGTCATTATTGAAGTAGAATAAAGACTCTCTGGGAGCTAACTAATTGGGCCCCACCATTCCTAGAGAGCATGGAGACAATTAAGATGCAAAATCTTAAGGCTTATAGCTTGATGCATTGTTGCCACCCAGATTTCACCTATGGTCGTCAATAGGGTTAAACACCATAGTTTCACAGAATTTCAAGATCAACCGCATGGGGGACTTGTCTAGGTCTGTCTAAAATTCAGGCTGGAAGAATATGTGGCATTTACCTCTTCACTATGCCAACTATCAAGGTCATGACAACAACTCTGCATTTTGGGGCTTTCGTAAAGTCTAGGTTTGAGAAAATGGGCCCATGAACACAAACATTACTTCGTATAAATAAATAAATAAATAAATACATAAATAAATAAATAAATAAATAAATAAATAAATAAATAAATAAAT